CAACATGAAAACCGAGCTGATTTTGACTGTGTAAAAAGGGTGTTTTTTACACTACCATTGAGAAATTTTAACCAATGTTATAGGCTTTTCATTAAGACCCTAAAGAATCAGATAAACTTGTGGAAAATGGGCATCCGATGACCCCTTTAAAATTTGTGAGTATCAGGTTATACAGTGTCTATGTGCCTGATACTCTTGCTGGCTTTTCCAATGCACACTCAGGTTTCATTAGCACCAGGTGTGTGCTTCTCTCACACAATGTGGGTGCAGATACACAAAAGCCATTGACCCTGTTGTCATAGGGACCTGCCTCTACAGGAGGAGTTCAGTTTCTCTCCCCCACTGGAGAAGGCAAAGAACGACCCAGCAGATGGGATCACATAAAGCCTTCGCATCATTTAATAATGGAAAGATAAAGATACTGATGAAAAAAATACAGTAGGCTCAGAAACTTGGTAGAAGGTAAGAGGTTTGATACCATAATATGTTTTGGTAAATGGACAATTTACCACTGGACTGTATGGCTTGAGTTGTTTTCCTCCTCCTTTCTGTTTCTCAGCATGGCTGAGGCCGGTGTGCGAGTTCCTATGGAGCAGGTGAAGATGAGTGCCATCTCTGATGAGCGTGTGGACTTCCTCAGGGAACAGGCCTTCACCATTCTACGACTCAAAACTGACAAATGGAACCGTTTTATTGGATTGGAGGAGAACCAGAGGGCTTTGCTTGATTTCTTTGATCAGGGCTGGCGAGAGTATCTCATTTTGTTCGTGGGACCAGGAGGAACTCTTCATGCAGGAGATGAACAGGTGAGAATATCAAATATACTCATACACACTCATCTTCAATGTTCTGACTAACAGAAAATTCAGTCTCCCTCACTTTGTTCTCAGTGTGGCATTAGGATGCAGTCTAGCATTTCTTCTGCAATTGTCTCTCAGTTTCAATGCACTGATTGGCTTTTGGTTTCCGAAATAAGTCATCACTTGTTTCGAGTGCTTTCGCTTCTGAAAGCACTACGCCCGTCTTTTCCTCCCCAAAGAGCTCCTCTTCCTGGTGGACCAAGCTTCTGTGTGTCTTTAAAAAAAAGAAGGGCGTCATCTCCAAAACCACCTTTAGGACCCAGCTCTGGCTCGGAGAGGTTGCGGCACAACCCATGGACCACGCTCCTGTGCTCATCTCTCAGGTAAACACAACTAAAAAGGTTAGCTAGTATCACAACTAGGCAGGTTAGCTTATACATTGTAATATATTATAAAATTATATTTGAATTTTAATGCCTGACTTATTTATAAGGCACACTAAGTGATACTATCAGAATTGTACATCTCCTTATCTATTTAAAAGTAGCCTATATAGACTGTATATATAAAGGATGAAATAATGTAGCACTTTAACATTAGACTAAGGGTTGGTTCAGGTTGGTCTTTTAGGAGCTTTTAGAACAGAATGGGAAATTATTATATTATATTATATTATTATATTATATACATTAAATTTCATTTATAATGTCTGATTTATTGCAAGGCACACCAAGTGATACTAGCAAAATTTACATATCAGAATTGACTTACCTATTTAAAAAGTGTATATATAAAGATGAGATAAAGTAGCGCTTTAGAGTTAGTTTAGGGTTGGTTCAAGTTTAACTTAGTAGCTATAGAACTGTCTGTTAAATGTTTGATTAGTACTTACCTAACATTACTGGTCTTTGGGCAATATTACTTGAGGCATTGTTATTTTAGTATTATTTATATTCTGTTATGGCATTTATACATTTTTCCAATAAGCTGTCATTTATATTTTCATTATTAAGTTTCAGTTTTCATCTTATTACTTTTGAGTAATTTTATGTGCTTTTGTCATTTTGTATTTTTTATATTTCTATTTAACTTATTTTTGTCCGTATTAATTTGAGTAATTTTTGTACTTCATCTTAAACTTATTTTATTGTAGTTAGTTGCCAAGCAACATTTCTAAGGTTCATTTTTCAAGTGTATTTTTTTACACTTAAGATTTTAAGGTTATTTATTTCAGCCTAATTTCAATTAACAGAAATTATTTGTAATAGTTTTGCTTAATAAAAACAACATTGAAGGTAGGCCACCCTATACAAAATGGAAAAAAACATATGTTCATAGGTGTTGGTCGCAGTGCTGGGAAGTCCCCTGAATCAGTTTGCCTGGCCCCGGGTGGTCGGTCAGGACATTTGCCGACACCTTGAGCATCTGCTCAGTGAAGCAGTCACACTGAGAGGGCGAGCTCAGGGTCGAACGCTACTGCCCCTGCCACTGTGTGTGGAGAGAAAAGATGAGCACCAGCTGAGGTATGAACATGTACACTATGTGTCAATCACTCAATCAATCATTCATCGTTTGATCAAACATTTACCAAGCTTGTGATATCATGTAACATTTGTGTGTGTGTTTGTGTGTGTGTGTGTGTGTAGCTCGGACACCTGTCTGATTGACAGGGCGTTATTGTACTCCATTGAGACCATGGTGATTCAGTGGTGTCGACTGATGGGCTCTGTGCTGCAGCGGGACTCATCTAAGCTCCTGCACCAGGGGGACCACCCAGGCCCCACAGTGGAGCTTATTTTCTGGACTAAACAGAAAGAAAACTTATTAGGAATCCAGAAGCAGGTGTGTTTTTTACATATATATTTTATATATACTGAAGTCAGGGTTTATCAGGTATTCTTTTTTTATCAGGCATCTAGGTATCTATCTATCTATCTATCTATCTATCTATCTATCTATCTATCTATCTATCTATCTATCTATCTATCTATCTATCTATCTATCTATCTATCTATCTATCTATCTATATTTATCACAACCTAATTTTATATGTATTTATGTATAATTCTGGTTTATTTGTGCAGCTGCAGAACCCAAAAGTTGATCAGGTGCTGGAAATTTTGCAGAGGATCAAAAGCAGTTATTATGCTTCATTTTACGACATTATTCAAAAAGTAAACCACGGTAATCACATCCGAAATGTGGACACACTCTCGTTCTAACATGATTTCGATGTAAACTGCATTATATTTTTATTCTTTTTATTTTAGTGTGGCCTAGTAGTTAAAATCTAGGCTGTTAAGTGAAATCTTGTAGGTTCTAATGTCACATACAATAAATGAACTGTCAACTCGATGATTTTCTAGCCGTGATAGAGGCAGAGGACATAGACCTGCATTTGAGGACCTTACGGCGGTCCATAGCTGCATTCGAGGAGCGGAGCTTCACTGATCTGGAGCCTCTGATCCCAGCTCTCTTTCACACACTCGCTCTCATCTGGACACATTCTCACTTCTACTGCCGCCCACCTCGCATCGTCACACTACTCACAGAGTTCTGCAACCTACTCATTGACAAGGTGTGCTTGCTCATTTGTTTAAATTATCTAAATTAGGTTGTTTGATTGCATAATGTTTGTATAATGTGTGCATGTGGTTCTGTAGGCCTCTGTGTATCTAATTCCTGAGGAACTCTTCAAAATGGAGTTAGAGGAGGGTATGGACCGGGTTCGGAAGGCCATCCAGGTGTTTTGGGCATTCAAGCGCAGTTTCCAGCAGCACCGGGACAAACTGACACCGACTGGGCCCTACAACCAACCAGGACTTATGGTCAAACCCTGGGACTTTCCCTCTGAGCTTGTGTTTCACCGCATTGATTGCATCATGGAGAGACTGCGCATGATTGAGGTGTGTGCACACAATCCAACCCCACTGAAAACAGATGAGTGTATCATTTAGTATTTTTTCTTTCTTTAACTTGGCTTTAGAGGCCTATTCACAACAAATCCAGACGTTTGGCACAAGGAACATGCATGACAAGATTGTAAAATGAAACAAATTTCTATGTACTCCACACAGAGTCTGAAATGTTGTTTTGTGATGATCTGTTGTTAAGATGTTTGGAGGTTAGGCCTTGTGTTCTTTGGCAGTGCTGCAGTTAAAATTAAAATGTTTGGACAAAATGATTAGACTTGGCTTCAGTCATTTCCTTTTTCTTTTCTTTTTTTTTATTGCATACCTTGTAGGACTTTGGTTATATTAGATATAGTGTGAAAATCAGTATTTTGTCCTTCAAACCATTAAAAAAAAAAGTTAACTAAAGTTTATTAAGCATTTTGCTAATAATCTGCCCAATCTGTGTGTGCGTCCCTGTTTCAGGAGCTGTTTGCCTCAGCTCTGGACTTTTTAAAGCTGGAACGGATTGAGCTGGGCGGCTCTCGAGGGAAGATTCTTAGTGATATGGTGTACAGCATGAATGATGAGTTCCTGGACAGCTGGAGAACTCTTAGAGAGAGCAAATATGACCCACTCGACTACAACAAGAAGGTTTTACCATATCTGCACAAATATACACTACAAAGATTTTATTTAACCAAGATTTTTTGTTTTTGAAAGAACCATATGCTCACCAAAATACAGTAAAAACAGTAATATTATGAATTATTATTACCATGTTAAATAACTAAATAAGTCTAATTTTTTTGTAAAAAAGGAAAGAAAATCATATACTGTATTTGACTACATGAGCTCACATTCACAAACATTTATATACTGTACAATCACATTCTCCCTGGGGTTTTCTAGGAGTTTGTGTGCGACTACAATCGATTCATGGAACAGAACAGAGACTTTGACCAGAGACTGGGGACAGTAATAAACTTGGCCTTCCAACACTCCCCGGGCCTAGAGTCTGCTTTTAAGCATTCACAAACATTTATATACTGTACAATCACATTCTCCCTGGGGGTTTCTAGGAGTTTGTGTGCGACTACAATCGATTCATGGAACAGAACAGAGACTTTGACCAGAGACTGGGGACAGTAATAAACTTGGCCTTCCAACACTCCCCGGGCCTAGAGTCTGCTTTTAAGGTATCATGCACACACTTGCATGCACACACACACACACACACACACACACACACACACACGCTCAGTAATGAATGAACAGACAGCAAAACACAAGGTTTATTATTGTCATTATTTAATTCAGTGTGTGCGAAAATCCTGTCTCTAAGCCTCTAACATTGAAAGCCTGTGTTTGTAGCTCCTGCAGATGTTTGGTACTTTGTTGGAGAGGCCGAGGGTTCACCAGCTTTTTGCTCCAAACTACTCTCAGCTGCTGGTCATGTTCCAGGAGGAGGTCAATCTCTGTCAGCGCATCCTGGACACCCAGAGGGAGAAGGTTTGTGTGACTAATAATTAGAGAATGAAGCAGTGGTTTTCAAATGAGGGTTTATGAAGAGTTGCTGGGGGTCTGTGGGGAAAAAAATGGTACAACTTTACAAATTGTGATTAAAAAACTTTTTTTTTTTTGGAAACTAGAATTTGAAACCCTGCTTCATGAAGCTTCGAAAGCTTTATGAATCTTTTGATTTTGAATCATGGGGTTTGGAGTGTGTTCTATTGGTTTGCAGCTTGGTGAACCCATCAACGAGTAAATAATTTGACTGGTCAGTTTTATAATAAAAGTTCAGTTTTACTGAAGTTAATGTATTTTAATACAAATGCATGTGCAATCTAAAAAGGAGAGTGATAGTTAATTGTTTCTAATTGGCATAGTTTGCCAATCCCTGCCTAAGAACACACAAAACAAGCACGTTCATAAAATAATACATATTTAATGACATTAAATTATGTTTTTATTATATTAGACTTTCATGAAACATTTGCAATGGGTTTGTGAAAGTAGTCATCATTATACATATTTGGACCATATCCTAGCTGCATTTACAGAGTTTTGACCAGCAGGTGTCGCCAGTCTGCCGTATTTCGAGCACTTCGAAATAATGAGTCAGTTTGCTAAGCTCAATTGATTCAGGTTCAATTTGCTAAGGTTCAAATTGCTTGTTCAATTGGTTCGGAGTTTCGAATTTTCGAAGCTTTTTCGTTTTTCTCATCACTAGTTTTTAGGGCTGTCAGAGCTTCGGTTTAAGATATTATTGTTTCGCCAGTAGGTGGCGATAAACGACTGTCTTGTCTTTATGAATTAGTCACTGAATTATTCATTCAAATGATCTGATTCATTCAAGAACAAAACACCTCTACATTATGATGCGCGAAGGTGTAATGGTTAATTCTGCCTTGACTTTTTAAAAAAGATTTTCGTTGGCAGAGCAAAAATACATAAAGTAACTATTAATGTTGTGTCTTAAATATAAGTTACCCAAAATTAACATCTTGTTTTGTCAGAATATGCCCTTTAGCAAGGTGCTTTGGATAAAAGCATACTTACAGACTTTTGTGCTGTTGTTTGTTTGTGTTTCGGTGCAGATGAGGAGCGGATACCCCGTCCTTGGTAAAAACATGCCCGCCGTTGCTGGTAACCTGAAATGGTCCCAAGAACTCAGAGAACGGATCCTGTCAAACCGTAGTAAACTAAGCCAGCTTACACATATGTAAACAAGCTCACCTCAACATAATTATAAGACATACACAAAATGTTGCTTCTTGTGCCATTTTTGACAGTGTCTGCCGCATTCTGTATGTGTTAGGCCGTTAGACAGTCCTGAGGCACAGCAGGTGTTGCAGGTGTGTGAGTGTGTATTGGAGGTTCTGGATCAGATGGATGAGGAAGTCTATGCTAATTGGAGTGTTGGATTGGATGAGGTGTGCCACACACATCTGAATGAACCACTGCTGATATTGGACGAGGAGAGCAGCCTGTACAGCTTGAACTTTAACCCTGCTGTAAGACACGCACACAAACTCACATATTTATCTAACTAAATGTAGATTTCCCTTTTACTTTTATTATTCTTACATTTGGCTAAGTGAGCTAACTAGAGGCCAGAATGTCCTAGAGACTTGGGGGTAATTAATTTAGACTTTTCGCCATTAAAGTCAGCACTGAGTAAAATTAATCCGTTTTCTAAAATATTAAATGCATGTCATCCATGTATATGTTTAACTTTTTTTTTTAACTCAAAATTTCAAATTTCATTTTTGAAACACGAATGTAGATTGAATTTTTACATTTTTTTGCAACCTGAGAGGTTTTTGTCCATTCAGTGAAACCAACATTTTGATGATTCAAAAACTTTAGTTAGTTAGCTAGTCTGTCAGTTACTTAGTTAAATTGCTTAATATGTTTGTTTAAGATTTAGCTTATTCTTTTAGTGTTTACTGTTATATGATGTTGGTGTTTTAGTTGACGTCTGTTTTGAGGGAAGTGAAGTATCTTGCAATTCTGAAGAACCACAGCATTCCCAAGGCTGCTATGGGTCTGTACTCTAAACGGGAAAGGCTTCACATGGTGAGACTGCGTGTGGCCATCTGTGCCTTTATGTTTGAGTAACAAGTTGCACTGTGCCAAGAAATTAGCTTTGTTTATTCCCTCCTTTCAACCTTCTTTTGTTCCTCTCTCCCTCTGTGTGTGTGTGTTTAGTACACAAGTACTCTGTTCCAGATCACTCAGTGGTATAATAAACTACACAGCACAATTCTGACTGTTGAGCTGCGTTTGGTAGAATCTGAGCTGGAGCAAGTGAGGTGTACCTTAAGGCCAGCGTTAAAGGAACTGCAGTGGAGTGATGAAAACCTTGCTGACTACATTAAGTGGTAACAGATATATACTCATATTGTTGTTAGCGAATCCAACAAGTCTAAATTTGTAATCTTATTGATCTACTATGGGAAGGTGCTTATGTTAACATGCAGTATACTCTTTGTGTGCTTGTAGCACATGTGATCTGGTACGTGGTGTGTCGGCGCGTGTGCAGAAGAGCAAGGCTAACTTGGAGAAACTGCAGGGGCTGATGGGAGTTTTCAGTCACTCTGCCTGCATTACGCGTAGGACTAATCTGCGTAGCAATCTGCTCAACCTCACCGATGTAGAGGAGAACTTCAAGCGACAATATGCTCTCATCGCTCGCACAGGAGAGAAGATACATGAGCTTGTGCAGGTGTTGGCTTCACTGCTTGATTCAACACATTGAGAGGGACACATTTTAAAACTCTGAAGCAGGGAAGTGAATGGGTGCCGTCAGAATGAGAGTCCAAACAATTGATAAAAACATCACGGTAATCCACAAGTAATCCCCATGACTCCAGTCCATCATTTAATGTCTTGTGAAGTGGAAATTCTATGTGGTTGTAACAAACAAATCTATCATTAAGGTGTTTTTAACTTCAAACTGTTGCTTCTGGCTAAAATACGAGTCCTCTATCCATAATATTGCTTTCTTCAGTGGAAAAGTCATCTCGTCTGAATCAGAAATATGCACAGATCAAGCACGGTTTATACATGAAAACAATTTTGATGTGAAAGGACAACAGGGGACAGACTTTTTTACTGGAGTAAGCATTGTTATGGATTATAGGCCGATATTTTGTGTGGAAAGGACAGTTTAAAGTTAAAATGCCTTCATGATGGATTTCTGGATGGACTGGATTCATATGGATTACTTTTGTCTATATTTAAAGATGATATAAACCAAATGGCGAAATCTATATTAAAATACCACTGGAACTGAACACCTGAAATTCACATTAATTCATGCATTCATTCATTCATTCATTCTTTTTTTAAATTGTAGGTTATCTATTCTAGCGGAATTTAATTTCTAGCGGATTCTTACTTGATTTCTTTCTTTGCTCTTCAGGAGAATGCTGAGCTGCTTGGTGCTGATTTGGACTCAGAGGCTTGGCAGTGCTACACAGAACATGTGGACAGAAGCATTCTTACTGGGTTCTGCAGTGCTGTTCGATGTTCCTTGCAGTACTTAGTTGAGAACACAGACCCAGCGCTCCACATTTCTCCCCTCTTTGAAGTTCAGCTGACCCTCACCTCTGACATGATCTTTCACCCCTCGCTCAGTTTCTCCAAGAAGGGAAACTTCTATGATATCATTGACCAGATGGTGTCAGATATTTTTAAAATGGCTTATTTCATAAAAAGAGTGGCTAAGAACAAACAGTCTGAGACTTACAAGGTAGGATCATTTTAGTTGAATGGTTAATTAGAACATTTATAGCAATGTATTGTTGAAGTTCATCAGAGAATGATTGGTTTTGCCAGTAAAGCCTGTCGTCTGATAAACCATCTGGTGATTTCTGTAAAGATTTAAAACTATTCTTTATGACATGACTTATGTCTGACCATGTCTGTTATTTCTTAGTCAGATATAGATCAGATACCTGAGCTGGTGGAGTTGGCTCAGCTGGTGCGATACCGTGCACGTGTGGCCATTGCTAAGGTCAAAGAATTCCAACATTCCTTTGATTCCTATCGTTATCTCTGGACCGGAGACAGGGTGGAGTTCATGAGGCAGTTTCTGCTCTATGGACACGCCCTCTCTGCTGAGGAGGCGGAGCTTTATGCAGATTATGAGTTGCCCAAGAATCCGCCCAAACTGCAGAACTTCAGAGAACAGGTATCTGCCAGTCATCGAGTTAGGATTCAAATATATATTTTGTTGGGATTTAAATACATGACACTTATAGAAGCCTGTTTTCATCTCAGAATAAAAAATAATTTTGAATTTACGATTTAGTTAATATTTCTTTATAACTTTATGACAATTTGACTTTATATTTTTAATCTCTCAATGACCTTTTTTTAAAATGTGAGACGAAAATGGGAAATTTTTTTTTTTTTCTTAGCATAACAAATTACACAAGTATGCAAAGGCCACTGGATCTACTATAATTTTTCACTTTTTTCCCCTCTCTCACTGATTTCTCATTAGATCAGTGAGTTTGAGGATCTTTACGAGAAGGTATGCATGTTAGAGGAGAAGAGAGTATTCTGTGGCTGGTTTCAGGTGGATATAAAACCTTTCAAAATATCTCTGATGAACATCATTAAGAAATGGAGCTGGATGTTTAAGGAACACTTACTGAACCATGTTATTGCCAGGTAATATTTATTCAGACATTGCCTTACAACTGACAGAAATGGTTTTTATTATTGATTTCCCCAAAAGAACCAATCATACTAGTCCAAAGCATTGCAAATCATGTATGTTTCAAGTACAACAATTATATTAATGTAGCGTGACTATGACTAATCACATCTTTCTCTGTCTCAGTGTTAAAGAGCTGGGATCATTTATTGAGGATACAGAGACTGGGTTGGCAAGGACTGTAACCAATGGGGATTATGGCAAATTGGTGGACATCATGGGCCACCTGATGGCCATCAGAGACCGTCAGCTGAGCACAGAGCAGCATTTCAAACCCCTCAAAGCCACCTCGAACCTGCTCAAAACCTACAACCAACAGCTACCTGAGCATGTTTACATACTGATGGAGGTAACTTCACTTACATGCATCTGATTCTGCTACTTTTCTGTCCACACTACCGCCTCACATACCTGTGTGGTTTCACAGTCCTTGCCAGAGAAATGGAAGAATCTCAAGAAGGTGGCATTTACAGTAAAACATGAGGTTGCTCCTCTCCAGGCCAACGAAGTTGCTGTCATCCGCAGGAAGTGTGTTCAGTTTGAGGTGAGGGGCTGAAATCAGTAAAAACTGTGAATAGAAAAGTACACAAAATCATCAGCATGATAAACTTTTTAAGCTTGCATCAATGAGTAATCCAGTTTTGAAGCTTAACTTAAATATTTATAAATATATAAATGTTGCATAAAGGAAGTATTATTTTTGTTTTAGGACCAATTTCTGTCAAAGCCAGTGGAAAAAAATCCTATTGTTGAGATGTTGCTGAGCATCTGTGGTTTGTTTCCTAGATTAAACAGCATGAATTCAGGGAACAGTTCCGCGCTGAGTCCATATTCTTCATCAGCCTGCAGGAGCCGTACAAACTCATTGACAAGGTGCTCTCACCATTCTTTTATGTCTGAGTGAGCATGTATGTTTTAAATAGGTTTTATTCTTACATTCTTTGTTTAAATGTGCATGTATAAATGTCTTGTTTGTGTGTAGACGAATCGTGCGGTGGCTCATTTGGAGAATGAGATGTCTAAGCTTCAACAAACAGCCAATCTGTTCGAAGTCAGTTTCCCTGACTACAAACAACTTCGACAGTGTCGGTCAGACATCATCCTGGTTAAAACAGTCTGGGATATGGTTATGTTTGTTAAGGTAATCTTTACTACACAAAGGATCTACAGTATAAAGTTCTCCTAATAACCAACTTGCACACATACAGAAAAAGTCATTTGAAGTTAGTCTTGGTCTTTCTAAAATTTTGTCCCAATATTCTCCTCTGGTTGGCATCCTCTTGGGAATGATGGGTGATGTAGTCCAGCATCTCAGACTGGACTAAGACTCCATGGAAGGAGATCAATGTGGAACAGATGGATATGGAGCTCAGAAGGTTTGCTAAGGTACAGTTTAAATACTAAAATTGTCTTTCTTCAACGTTCACCATATGCACACAATGAGAATGGAATGCAGTCATTGGATGAAGTTTATGACAAATATCAGTCAAAATAAATTAAATGGGGCCTTGTAAATGTATGTTTATCGTTGCTTTGTGACGAATTATCATAGAATCAGAGTGCCTGTATATTTGTGTGTATGTGTAGGAGATGAAGACTCTGGACAAAGAGGTGCGTGCGTGGGATGTCTACAACGGTCTGGAATCCATCGTTAAGAATTTGTTGACATCACTGAGAGCTGTTAACG